ACCATTTCATGTCCTTTCAGATAGTTATAATTTAAAAGAAAAATAGTACCAAGTGTTGGTCAGGATTTGGAGAAAATGGAACTTTTATGCATTGCTGGTGCAACTGTAAACTGATGTAGCTGCTTTGGAAAACAGTTTAACAGTTCCTCAAAAAAGTTAAACATACAATTCCAGTCCTAGAGACAGACCCAAGGGAACAGAAGACACATGTCCACACAAAAACTTTTAGCTGAATGTACATAATAGCAATATTCATAACGGCCAGAAGTGAGACCAGTCAAGTGTCCACCAACTACAGAATATATTATATTCATGAAATGGACTATCATCCAATCATAAAAAGGAATAAAGTACTGATACATGCTACAACATGGATATACCTTGAAAATATTATGCTAAGTGAAAGAAACTGGACAGAAAAGGTCACATATTGTATGGTTTCATTTATATGAAATGTCCAGAATAGGCTGATCCATAAAGAGGAGAAGAAGATGAATAGGTGCCAGAAGCTGGAGATAGTAGTTATGAGGAGTGATTACTAATGTGTACAGTTTTTCATTTTGGGGTGATAAAAGTATTCTGGAATAAGATAGTGGTAATGACTACACAATTTTGTAAATATATTGAAACTACTGAACTACTTTAAAAGGATAAATTTTATAATATGTAAATTAAATATTAATTTTAAAAAGATTTCATATGTTAGCAGATATAAAAAAACATACACATTTACTACATACAGTATTTATTCCTCTTGCCTCATTCCCAAATCCTAAAAAAACACCTGATACCAAGTGTCACCACTTTTGTGTTACTGGCCTACCTCCAGGTACTCCCAGTTGAAAAACATGGGCCCAGGATGCCAGAAAGGGAATCAATGAGACAGAGGTTCATGGCCCCATTTGGTGTCACCCAAAAGGGAAACATTTTCTAATCCATGTAATCAAGAGAAAAAAAAAAAGATTTCACATGGTCAGAAAAGCCTTTAAAATCCTTTATCTCTTATTGCTTTCATTCTATATTCATTAAACCACTTTCTTAAAGGTTCTAATGTCAAGAAGGGAGCACATCCTATTGGTAGGGAGAAATCGCCTCCAGTGAAAATCATACCTACTTATCTATCTACCTACCTACCTACCTTTGGGTTCATTTATTTAACTTCTAGTGACTTGATGAACTTGAATCACTCATCCCGCACCAGAGTCTGGGATACTAACTAAGAAATAAGAGCCAAACAATGTATTAAGGTAAATTCACCTAAATCAAAAATGACAAGTGGTTTTAATCCAGATGCTTATTTTAATATTTTGACAGGTGGGAAAGATTATGTGATGAGCAAGATCATGAGGACATGTCTGAGTAGAGTTTGACAATCATGCCTGATACGTGGTGTTTGTCCACCTTGGACACAGGCAGGAAAGTAATGTTAACTATACTGCATAGTTGCCACTCTGACATAGATGTTCCCTCAGGGAACTTGAGCCAGAAAACCTCCTGGCCATATCCCTCTAACCTTGAAGTACTATGTCTACATTTCATAAAGTTCTATACTACTGAAAGTGGAAAGCTCAATTTAAAATATATAAAATCTAATGCTACATTGTAAGGACCACAGCCTGTCCCCTCCATTATTCCATCAGTGAAAAAGTAAATGGCTTATTAAAAACTGCTTCTCTAAGTTCCTGTTTCCTAGGATAAGTCAACCACCCTATACATTAGAAAACTTAGGAAACATTCTCCATGTTAAAGTTATTTTTGGAGCAGCCTGGGTGGCTCAGCAGTTTAGTGCTGCCTTCGGCCCAGGGCATGATCTTGGAGACCCGGGATCGAGTCCCACATCGGGCTCCCTGCATGGAGCCTGCTTCTCCCTCTGCCTGTGTCTCTGCCTCTGTGTCTCTCATGAATAAATAAATAAAATCTTTATAAATAAATAGTTATTTTTGTAATCAAGTCCCATCCCCTTGCTAATTTCACCTCCCCGCGCTGTGGTGACTGACTTCACATAATTACAATTGTCACCGTTCTCTGCCTACATGGAGGATTTGTGGGGGATGGCAGGAGAGGAGAGAACAGAGTTGAAGAAGGTAGAACAGATTTAAATGTTCGCTCAGCACTCTTGAATCAGGTGGAAGACGCCAAATGGGGCCTCACCCTGAAGCTAAGGCTTCTACTAGCCAAAACATGTATTTAATGCCTCTTCATTCTAATCATGACTAGGACTGACTTTAGCAGAGCAGTTTTTGGACTTATTTCAGGTTTCTGAATGCATTTGTTTAATCAATCAGCAGCTTAACATAGCATGCTGTTTCTAGGTAGGTTTGTTCCAGTGAAACACAGTGTGTTTGGTCAGGTCAACAACCAACAACCCTCTGCAAAGCACACTGGCCTCCTCCCTTTCACAAAGGCCTCCAAACTGCAGATGGAATCAAAGATCAAAGCTACTGAGAAACTGTATCCTCACCCTCTCACCCACTATTCCCATAGCTAAGGAAAACCAAAAAGGTTTCGTGTAAATCTTACCCAAATAGAAGTATTCAGACATACCCCAAATATCAACTTTTCCACAATTTAGTGTTCTACTAAAATCTGTAGTCTTCTCTTGCATTTAACTTTTAGTGCTATACTCAGCTGAAGAGAGCATTTAATAAGACAGGGATATTTTCCTGAACAAGAGAGACAAGATAAAATTTAAAAGAGAAACACATATACTAAAAAATGCTAGTGGGAAATTTTCATACTCCTTTGGAATGTAATTTATGCCATAAAAATGTATTACTGGGGAGACTGGATGGCTCAGTCGGTTAAGCACATGACTCTTGATTTCAGCTCAGGTCATGATCTTGGGTTTGTGGGATCAAGGCCCTTGTGGGACTCGGGGCTCAGCATGGTATCCCTCCCCCTCTGCTCTTGCCCCAGCCCCCTCTCTCTCATAAATTAAATAAATAAATAAATAAATAAATAAATAATAAATAAATATATAAATTTTAAAAAAGAATGTATTACTTGCATAATCAGAACAATAAATATAGCTACTTCTTAAGAATCATAGAAATTATTAACGAAAGGATAGAATTAGCCCTAAAGAAGAAAATCAAGTGCTTTCTTTGGCTAATTGGAGCAAAGTATAGGACTCAGAGGTTTTTATCAGGACCCATTTGTTTATCAACCCCTGGAATCCAGCCAGTCGTCTCACTGTGGCATTTCAGGGTGAGCTCACCACCGACCTCAAAGGAAGCAGGAAACAGTTACAGAGATACAGGGTGGAGACAAGAAGAAATATCAAGCCTTGCAAGTGCATGAGCTTTCACATTATTTTATGTCAAACTTTTCTAACAGGAGAGGAGAACAATGTGTTGAAAGAGGAAAAAAGTAGGGGCACCTGGGGGCTCAGTGGTTGAGTGTCTGCCTTCCACTCAGGCCATGACCCCGGGGTCCTGGGATCGAGTCCTGCATTGTGCTCCCTGCAGGGAGACTGCTTCTGCCTCTGCCTGTGTCTCTGCCTCTCTCTGTGTGTCTCTCATGAATAAATAAAATCTTTTTTTTAAAAAAAGGCAAGTAACTTGTAGTTATCTTGATACAGGAAGTAGTTTTTAGTATGCTTGCCCTCAAACTTGAATTACAGACAGTTTGAATTTCTCCCCTTACTCCTGGCCCCTCTACCTTTGGTGAAAGTGCTAATAAAAATAAAATGGGGAATGCCTGGGTGGCTCAGTGATTGAGTGTCTTCAGCTCAAAGCATGATTCCGGGGTCCTGGGATGGAGTTCCACATTGGACTCCCTGCATGGAGCCTGCTTCTCCCTCTCCTTGCATCTTTACCTCTCTCTGTCTCTCATGAACAAATAAATACAATCTTTAAGAAAAAAATCAAAAAGTAAAATGGCCTGGGCATGAGGCATGGGGGAGACACAAGAGGTTAACTTAATGCTTATAGTTGACCTTATCTTGCAAATGTTAAACACCCTTCAGTAACTGTAGTCCAACAAGTAACCATATTCCACATACATTTCCTTTGAGGACGTATAGCTCAAAGAAGATAAAGGTCTCACTCAGAGTTGTCTATTAACAGGTCAGATTTTCTAATCGAGAGACCTCTCACATGTGGCCATCACCTTACAGTCACTGAGAATACACAAGAAACAGTGAAGGTGCCTTCCGGCCCCAGACTACCACTTCAAAATGGACATCAGGCAGCCTCTTGCAGCACGTAAGTTTGGTTAGCTGGCTTATATTTGCTTTCACTCCCGTAATATTTCCATAAACGCAATGGAGTTTCTTGTGCTCAATAATTCTGAGAGCTCTACTCATGAACTATCACTTGTGTCTCATCTGATTGGTCAGGGCAGGTCGTGTAGCTGAAGCACACACCAAAGGTTGGGAAAGCACCTCTGCCTCCACAGAGACCCGGGAAGGGTGTGGATGCAGGGAGAAAAGAACTGGAAGCACAATCAATCTCAGTCTCCCACGGCTTCCAACAAATTATTTAAATGGGGATGTTTCCACAGAAAATCCCAGGGCTTCATATATCATTAAACATAACAAGAAGGAGGTGCTAACACATGTTCAAATATACAGAAAAACACATATATTAATATAATAGCTATGTATCTACCTCTGATAATTAACAAATTAATACTTTTACACATTTGCTTCTCGTATTTTTATGAATATGAATATTGAATCTTAAATTGAATATTGAATTTTAAATATTGAAATAATTTAATTTTTAAATATTTTAAATATTAAATATTGAATTTCAAAATATGAATATTTTAGAGTTTAGCACTCTGTACGCCTCTCTATAATTCTATTTCCCTCTCTCTTCAAAGGTACCTACTATCCTAAAGTTAATTTGTGCATATTTTTATACTTTTCCTATGTACACAGCCATTCATGAAGCCACAGCCCAGAAGACAGTCACCCAGTCTTATCATTTTCTGTTAATATTTAGTCAGCATTTCCAATAAAATTACTTTCTCCTTCAGATCACTTTTACAAAAGTCCTACATGTGAACCCAATATTCAACTTTGACTTGCTTCATTCTCGTATTTTTTGTGTATCACTAAATTAAAGAAATGAGAGATGCAAGATCCTGAGGCTAAATAATTCAAACCTGGCTCTTTTTCAAAGAGTGAGGGGGTAATTCAAATTATCAGAGGAAGAAACATCCTAAGGAAAGCAAAAGCCAAATGTTTTCCACAGGAGTCTTTCTTTGTGCTGTCTTGATTTCGACTGGTAAGTCAAAAACAATTTTAAAATCTTGGCTAATTTTAAAAAGCAAATTTTAATAAAAGATTTAAAAGCTATTAATATCACAATCACAACAGATACTTATGTAGTTGATTATTGAAAGTGGGCTAGGAAGACTACATGGTTGGGGTTCTCCATGATTTCCACCTGAATGTTATGATTCTTTAGTGAGGGAAACATAAAAGTAGAATGGAGGACTTTAAGGGAAGTCTGTCAATTTAATTGGACAGGATTGGTCTAGGATTTAATTGGTCTAGGATTTAACTGGAACATAATTGGAAAATAAAGTTTGTGTCAGAATTTGATTTCGAGAATTCCTGATAACAGCAACTGGTGTGGATTAGGACAAGGGGAGCACTCCCTTAAGAGTCGTAGCAGGAGAGGAAGATGCGTACATTAATAAATTGTCTAACAAAAAATAAATAAATAAATAAATAAATAAATAAATAAATAAATAAATAAATAGTCTAACATTTGCCTCAATCCCCAGTGATAAATATTAGTACCAAAGTGATGGTATTATATTTCAATCAATATATTGTCTTGAAAGTATAAGACATTTGAAACCCATCTTCTTCTTTTTTTGTCTTTTCACTTTCTTTTTTTATTTTGTATATTTTTTATTGGAGTTCAATTTGCCAACATATAGCATAACACCCAGTGCTCATCCCATCAACTGCCCCCCTCAGTGCCCCTCACCCAGTCACCCTGTCCCCCCGCCCACCTCCCCTTCCACCACCCCTTGTTCGTTTCCCAGAGTTACAAGTCTCTCATGTTCTGTCTCCCTCTCTGATATTTCCCACTCCTTTTCTCTCCTTTCCCCTTTATTCCCTGTCACTATTTTTTAAATTCCCCGAATGAATGAGACCATATAATGTGAAACTCATCTTCTAAAAAAGTATATTTGGATGAGTACTGGGTGTTATACTACATATTGGCAAATCAAACTCCAATAAAAAACATACAAAAAATAAAAAAATTAAAAAAAGAATATACTTAAGTGTCCATATTCTGTAGCTCCTCTCATAGCACTTATTAATGAATAGTAAAATATATTTAAATAAAATCAATAATCAAATTAACTGGTCTTGTTTTTGCTTCTGTTTTGTTAGTGTATTTCAAAATAAAAGGATGAGTTTGTTAACTGCATCTCTCTGTGAATGTTAACATTGGAAATCCGGGAAATTTAATTCAATTAAGTATTTATCTACTGCTACCTACAGAGAAGATGTACCTAAAACAAGTATATACAAAATGCACTGAGCCAGCCCCTCCTCCATACTTTACTGCTATATAATTTTTCATATAATTATTTCTACTCCCTTCATCTTCTTTCTCTCTCTACTCTAGGCTAAATTGGATAGACATGTTCTTATTTCTAGGAATCTCTCACTTCTATTTTTGCAAATATGAAAAAGATTTATTTTAGTGCTAAATACATTTTGCTAGTTCAGAATCTTTTTCTTCTTCAAACATTTTCTTGGATTTGATTATCAGGACTAATAATAAAGGAACATTTCAAAATTACTTTGGAATTTCTAGAATTATTTCTTTGAGCTATGCTGTTCATGTTGGCTTAACTTAAACATAATGGTCCCAAGTAATAAGCAAAGAAAATCTGAAAAGCACAATGTATGCCATTTATTAGTCAATAATCTGAAACAAACTGTAGTGATGGAGATTAATGCTTATAAATAAACACTTTTGCAAATACTCTGTGTGTAATAAAACACATTTTTATGGCCAGGGGAAAAGCTAATTTTACATCTGAATCATGAGTTAAAGGAAAACCTACCCATAACCCACAGAAAGTTAGAAAAAAACTATAGTGAAAGCAGAATTTTTGAATCTACTGAGAGACATAAAAGGTAAACAGAGACTGAAAATAAATGAAGTGAGAAAATTTGCTTCTCATGTTTCTCTTTTTTAGCACTGGCTGGACCATGGGCTAATATCTGTGCTGGCAGGTCTTCCAATGAGATCAGGACATGTGACAGCCACGGTTGTGGCCAGTACACTGCCCAAAGGTATGGAGTTTCACAAAAAGCCCCATAAATTATTATGGTTCTTAACCTCTTTGCTTTCTGTCCTTGTCTCAAGCACTCATAATCATCTCCCTCTGACAGCAGGATTCAGAGATTAATGCAGCTGTACTAGTGTCTTTCTAGAGCAGCTTCCAAGGCCTCTGCTTCAAGTATGGGCTCTGAATTGGGAAAATAGCACGTAATAAAGGGGGGGGGGGCAGGAAATGTAGTGTTTTCCGTCTCAATGGTATCTTGTTGGTTTTTCCAAGGTAAAAATCAACATTACTATCCCATTTTATAGACGAACTGAGGTATCAAAAGGTTAAGGGACCTGCCAAACACAGCTGGAGGTGGTGATGGCTGCACTAATATTTAGGTTTTTGGCTCCTCCTCCCATCACATTGTAGTGTTACCGACCCAGGATGTAGGAGTTCAACATCAGAGGCGGCCTCAACAGGCAATTTATTTCAGACAATAAGGGATACATTCGTGAATTTTCAGTAATGTACAGCACCACCTTGGGGGTGCCACTCTCTGATGAAATAGCCATGTGTCCAATTGCATAATTGGCCTGCATCCTAATTATACTAGAATTCTCACTTAAACCGATACTACTTACAAAGCAATCTCAAACACCTGGAACAAGGTTGTGATAGGAAATATGGAAAAGTGGTCTCTGAATTCCCAGAATTCAGGCTCAATTAGCTCATACCTTAAAGTTTATGCCCTTGACTTATACAATAAGTTATTGGCTCTTCACTTGGAACCTGCTCAGTGTTGCTTTACACATAATTCTAACAATTATCATCAATCTGATTTTTCAGGCACTAGCCTATTAGAAAGAAGAAGAGGCTGGTAAGAGCAAGCATAAAGACAACAGGGAGGGTTGTCAGAGACAAATCTCATAAGCTGGGATCATTTAATGTTTGTGTTCCATTCACTTTAATAACTCAGGAGTTATCACTCACTGTATTAAAATATATATATAGTAAATTATTTTTTAAAAGATTTATTTATTTGAGGGAGAGAGAGAAAGGGGAAGGACAGAGGGAGAGAGAATCCCAAGCAAACTCCATGCTGAGAGCAGAGCCCGACGCAGGGCTCAATCCCACAACACTGAGATCATGACCTGAACCAAAACCAAGAGTTGGATACTTAATCGACTGAGCCACCCAGGTTCCCCAATCGTTTACTCTTGACAGGTTCTTAATCGTTTATAATGACTTCTGAATTACTGAGACAAAAATGAAAGTAATGTGACCCTTTTATGATAAGATTCCCTGCTTATCCCAAGATAAGCAGTCTTGAAGGGATCAAGATTCATGTATCTATAAAATATGCTTACATAGATTGTCTCATTTCCCCAAAATGCCATATGATAGTTACTAAATTCTTAAAGCCTCTCTATATACCAAATACTATCTTAAATGTTTTAATCTTTACAATATGGTTATTACTACCTGCATGGAGGGAAGTTAAAATTGAGATAAAGAAGAGTAAGGAAACTCAGGACATCCCAACAAGTTCTAGTAGTTTCGCGGTTTGACATCCTAGTCTGGGAACAGTGGTCCAATACCACGTTTCTGGGCAATAAAGTTCCCAGGACAGTTCCTCAGTCTGTTCACTCCTATTTACATTCTAGAAATCACAGGCTTCACCAGGGTGTGGATGTCTTGTGTTCTGATGGATCTACTGTGTATGCACCTTTCACCGGAATGATCGTGGGCCAGGAGAAGCCTTATAAAAACAAAAATGCCATTAATAATGGTGTTCGGATATCTGGAAGAGGTAAGAGGTGTTGTACATACCTGGGACACATACTGGAAAATGTCTGATGCTTATTTATTTAATGCATTTGCCGTACACCAAAGTTTCATACTTCCTCTACAATGATAGCATCTAGGCTAGAAAGGACATAGGATACCAAACTAAAACAGCTAATGGGTTTTCAAAGATGTTCCACCTCTTCCTCTGAAATCATCTTCTTGATGCACACTCTCTACCTAACCCCACAACTGACTGAAGGACTTTATTCTTGTGGCCCATGCGGTTTTGCCTAACAGTCTAAAAAAAAAAAAAATCACTTTCAACAGTATTTACTATAATAAATAGATACTTTCATTTACCAAAATCCCACAGTTCAGAGATGTTAGCATTTCTGCAAAAGGTGACTGGAAAAATATTTTCAAAGGCCTGTATGTTCTAGGTAAAGCTGGGTCATCTAGTACTCCAGGTGTTGGGCTTGTTGTTTATCGTTTTTTATTTTTATTTTTTCTTAATCCATTGAGGTAAAATATTCACACAGGCAAGTGTACAAAGCATAAGAATACAGCTCTTAAACTTTCACAAAGTGAATATACCTGTGTAACGAGCCCCCGAATCAAGAAAAAAAAACATTCAACAGCATCCCAAAGACCCTCCTGTACTACCTATACTCATTCTTCTCAGCAACAATAATCACCATCCCACCATACACTAGTTTTCACTTGTCTTGGGAAATGACATAAACAGAATTAAACAGTATGCAGTCTTTTTGTGGGGCTTCTCTCACTCTGCATAATGTTTACAAGATTTGCTTTGCATGCGGTTTTAGTCTCAATGATGTAGGCTGTTCCTTTGTACACATACATCTTCATTTCTGTAATCATCTTTCCCTAGATGGACATCTCAGTCGCATCCGGGCCTAGGCAATGATGAAAATAGTATGAACTTTCCCTGCACATGTTTGTAATGAACATAAATGTGCATTCATGTGGGAGTGGTCCTGGAGGACACTCCCCTCACCCCAGCTGTGAGAAACACTTTGTGAAGGACCTCGCATCCTCAAAGAGCTCTATGGTGGGTGGCTGTTTTCTGGAGGCCCAAAATGACAAGGGAAACTGCTGCCACCAGACAGCGTCCACTTAGTAGGCAAGGCCAAAGTTGGCATGGTTACCCAACAGGCAGCAGAGCTGAAGTGGTAATCAGAACCATCTGAAGCACAGAGATCTGGAGCATTGTCTAGTTAATCACAGTGACCTGAGAGCTGAACAAACGGGCAGCCCACTAAAGCCTTGTTTGTATAAACAGGAAAACTGATGAACAAAATTGTGACTTCAATCATCACAAGAGTGGGTCACAAAACCTCCCCCGGCCTCCCAGACTTGAGCCAGTTTACAGTCCCAGAGCTCCTTGAAAGAAAATGGGACTGAGTCCCTTTGAGGAAGGGCTCTGTCACATGGCCAAAAATTTCTACCATAAACCTTACTTCCAGCTATCCTCAAAGGGACCTGCAGCCATTTAGCTAGATGGCTGTACATTGGGGAAGACAAAATAATTGGGCTTCTCAGAGGTTACTGGACACCCAGTCAAAAATGACACTAATTCTAGACACCCAAAAGTCCGCTGTGGTCAACCAGTTGGACTACAGGCTTCTAGGGTCCAGTGATCAACGTAGTTTTTCATCAGGGCCCATCTGACAGTGATCCCAGTGTGTCCACAAATCCACTCTGCAGCGATTTTCCCAGTTCGGGAATGCTGTGGGAGTGGGAGCGCTGGGTCACTTGGTGTATGTTCCCCTTCAACTTTAGCAGCCACCGCCAGTTTCCCAGAGTAGTACTTCCAATTACATGCCTACCAGGAGTGGATGAAAGTTCCAGTTGCTCCAGTCACAGTACTTGGTGCTATCTATCTACCTTTATCATGTCAACCATTTTGATAAGTACATAGTCGTATCTCATTGTCTTACATTTGCATTTCCCTGATGGCTAATACACTGAGTACCTTTTCATATTTATTGATAACATGGATATTATCTTCTGTGAGGTGCCATTCAAGTATCTTGCCCTGTATTTTCTGCCTTTTTATTAGTATATTTTTTTATATATTGTACATACGAGTCCTCTGTTAGATCTGTGTGTTGTAAATATCTTCTCCCACTTCATGGGCTACCTTTTACTTTCTGTATGCTTTCTTTTAATAAAAAAAATTCTTTTTAGTGCAGTCCAATTTAGTATTTTCCTTTACTGTTAACACATTTTTTCCTTAAGATCCATTGTTCACCCTAATGTCATAAAAATACTGTTCTCATCTGTAAACTTTATTGTTTCATCTTTCATATTTCGGTTTATGATCCCTTTGGGATTGGTAAGGAATGAGATAGGGATCAAGATCTTTTTTCTCATATTGGTAACTAACTGATTCAGTACCATTACCTCCCCTACTGTATTGCAGCATAGTATCTTTTGCCATAAATCATGGTCAGAATATACATACATCTGTTTCTGGTCTTTCTGTTTCATTGGTCAGTGTGTCAATCTTGCAAAAATATGCTGTAGCTTTAAAATACATCTTGATATCTGCTAGTATAAATCTTTCAACTTTTGTCCTTCTTTCAGACTGCCTTGAGAATTCTTGTTCATATGCATTTCCAGATACATAATAGAATCAGTTTATTGATTTCCACCAAAAATTCTGCTGGGACTTTGGTTGGTTTTGTACTGGTTATACAGATCAAATCAAGAAGAACTGATATCAGGGACACTTGGGTGGCTCAGCGGTTGAGCATCTGCCTTCAGCCCAGGGCGTGATCCCGGGGTCCTAGAATCGAGTCCCACATCGGGCTTTCTGCATGGAGCCTGCCTCTCCCTCTGCCTCTTTCTGTCTCTCATGAATAAATAAATAAAATCTTAAAAAAAAAAGGGACTGATATCTTAAAAGTAATGAGTCTTCCAATGAATAAACGCGTTATATCCTGCATTTATTTTGGTCTTCCTGCACTGTTATATTAGTAAGTGTTATACTGGTTTCAGTGTTGAGGCTATGCACATGTTCTGTTTAACATATACATTAGACATACTGTATTTTTTTAAGTTAGTGGCTTTATTTTTTTTAATTTATTTTTACTTATTTATGATAGAGAGAGAGAGAGAGAGAGAGAGAGGCAGAGACACAGGCAGAGGGAGAAGCAGGCTCCATGCCGGGAACCCGATGCGGGACTCAATTCCGGGACTCCAGGATCACGCCCTGGGCCAAAGGCAGGCGCGAAACCACTGAGCCACCCAGGGATCCCAGACATATTGTATTGATTTTGTTTAGAAAAAAAAATTTTTTTTTGGTTTAGATTTTCAATATAGGACTGCCCAATAGGAATAAAAGCCACATATGTAATTTAGAATTTTCTAGTAGTTATACTAAGAACATTTTAAAAAAACAGAGAAAATTAATTTTAATAATGTATTTTATCGGGCAGCCCGGGTAGCTCAGCGGTTCAGCGCCACCTGCAGCCCAGGGCCTGATCCTGGAGACTCAGGATTGAGTCCCAGGTCAGGCTCTCTGCGTGGAGCCTCCTTCTCCCTCTGCCTGTATCTCTACCCCCGCCCCCGTGTCTCTATGAATAAATAAAATCTTTTAAAAAATGTATTTTATCTATTATCATTTCAAAATGCAACATAAAATTACTAATATTTTACTTTTTTGGTACTATCTTCAAAATCCAGCATGCATCATATACTTAAAGTAAGTCTAATTCAGATTAGCTACATTTCTGGGATGCCTGGGTGGCTCAGCAGTTGCCTTTGGCTCAAGGCATGATCCTGGATTCCTGGGATCGAGTCCCACACAGGCCTCCCTGCAGGGAGCCTGCTTCTCCCTCTGCCTCTCTCTCATGAATAAATAAATAAAATCATTTAAAAGAAAAAAGATTACCTACATTTCAAGTGCTGACATATGACTGGTGGCTACCATGGTGGACAGTGCAATTCTAAGGCGTTTCATATGTTTTCTGTCCACTTGACCTGTTTTCACTGACGTCTGTTAAAATCTTCTATTACTAGTGAGTTTCTATTTCTCCCTGTATCTCAGGTAGTCTTTATATACGTGGTTTCTGTGTTATTTGGTGCATGGATGGTTACAACTGCTGTATCTTCCTTGTATTTAGCAGGATACATTGCCCTCCTTTGTCTTGTTTCAGTGATTTTTGGCCTCAGTTCTACTCTCTGATAACAGATTCATAACCCTTGCTTCCCTTATTTCCATTTGCTTGGCAAATCTTGGTCCAGCCCTTAATTTTTCACCCTTTTTTAAAAAAAGATTTTATTTGAGAGAGTGATGGAGCGCACAAACGGGAGGAGCAGAGGGAGAGGGAGAAGCAGATTCTTTGCTGAGCAGGGAGCCGAACGCAGGGCTTGGTCCCAGGACCCTGAGATCATGACCTGAGCTAAAATCAGATGCTTAACTGACTGGGCCACCTGGGTGTCCCTTGCATTGTTTTACTGAATATGGCATAGAATTGCTTTTTGCTTTTCAAGCCAGTAGGAATTTTTTTTAACAGATGATTTAAGATTTATAGATATACCTCATGTATGTGGTCCCAACATTGTCATAATTATAGTACTAAATTAACTCTACTTCTCTATTTGGTGGGTTTTTGTTTTTACTTCCCCCCCCCCTTTTAGTGTTAGTAAGATTTGCATTCTTGTGCCAATTATGACCATTTCTCTTTGTCTTTAAAGTCTAATTATTTTATTAGAATAGGTCTTGGCATTGAAATTATTCTGAGAACAAAATACGTTAACAGTCTCAATTTTCTCAGCAACCTGGTGTTTTTCCGCTGTTCCTCAATGCCTTCGTTAAATGTTCATTTGAATCTATTCTCCCTTGGGCACCTTGCAGTTTTAGTCTTCATTTCTGATATGATTTTGTCATCTTCCTCTATTCCCTTACTGAGTTCAATCAAGTCTCAGTTCTTTTTGTCTTCTCTTCCATTTCTGTTATTTTTTTGAATTTCTGATTCAAGGCTACTGAAACCCAGAAAATAACTAATTTAATTTCCTTTCTTTTAGGTTTCTGTATTAAAATGTTCTACATTAAGCCTGTTAAATATAAAGGTTCTATCAAGAAGGGAGAAAAACTGGGAACTCTACTGCCCTTGCAGAAAGTCTATCCCGGCATACAGTCCCACATACACATTGAGAACTGTGACTTGAGCGATCCTACTATGTACCTCTAAGTAGAAGACAAACGACCAGATCTTTCAAGTTAAAAATCATCTTCTTAAAAATCTGGATGCATATCCTACTCTTCAATAAATTTATGTCCAAATAAAAACATGATGAATGCAAGAAAGAAAATAGAATTTTTATTCCAACTCATTGTCACTTGGATGTTTGATTGTCAACTAATTTCTGAGGGTTCTCTGGTTTTTCTGTCACTTATGGGATCTGACAGGTTTTACTTCTTTGCTTTTTAAAGTTTCTCAGTCCTCAATACATAGGATAAAAAAATATGAATTCCAGCCTCTCTGGACTGCATTTTTGACACTTCTAAAACTAGCTACCTTTCTGCCTGAAAATAAGAAAAAGCCTGAAGCTGTTTTCCTGGTACAAGAATAGAGTGTTGTACCATGCTAGACACATATACATACTTTATAAATATTAAGTGCAAAAACGAATTAAACGTTGAGTACAGGTAAGGAAGGGTTTCAGCAACATCCTCAGGTTTGTCAAACCGGTCAAAGGGTGAGCTGTTTGCATGGATAAGAGAATTTGCTGGTCTTCACATCCATACTTCCCCACACTATATGAGCAGAACATTTTCTAAATTATAAATGATGACAGTTCAAGAAGATACACCAGTAGTCCCATTTCAGTAAGACTGCATTACAGGAAGTACTAGGATGAGAAAGAGGATCTGTCTTAAACTGAAGTATCTCATGAAACCAAGTATCTCATGGAAACTCAGCCTCATCTAGCCAAATGCACACCACAGCCACTTATGTCTACACATCATTTTAAATCTAGATTATTCTTTCCTAGTTACATTGACAACAGGTAGTACGGGGAAGTAAGATCATACAAATGTTCAAAGGACCAGAAATAACTGGCTCCCTAGATTTTAGTTAGTGAGAAATGAGTAAGTTGAATGTATCATTCTGGAAACTTACTATGAGTTTCTGCTTAAATCCTTTTGGAATGTAGAAAACTCTAGCAGAAAGATTCTACTCTTAGTACAGATATGCTAGAGGAAAATATAATTAACTGAGCTTTATTATTAGAGAAGTAGTTGCATTTGTATGCTAGGACAGATGTATAAGAATGTTCATGATATCGCTCTTTGTCATGGCAATCCCTAGAACAACTCAAATGCTTGAGAGTTGATATGAACAAATAAAATGTGATTTAGTCACAGAATGGAATAGTAGACAGTGGTTATAATATATGAGCCTCAGCTAAACATAATAAAATGGATTAAGTCATAGCAATATAATTTTGAGTAAAACAAAAAAGGCCTAAAGATTATATATAGTATGATTCTTTTTATAAAGTCAAAACAATTAAAACCAAAATGTAATTTTTATGAACACACAGTATGTGATAAATGTATAGGAAAAGGAAATCAAGCAAATAATAAATAAGGGAAGCCACACAGAAAAATTTATTTTCAAGTCAATGTTATCACTTCACAGCTGGGAGGTGATTTCATGAGTATTTATGATATATATGATATATGTTATAGTCATAACAAGACTTGCAGGTGGGTGGTCAGGAAGAAGAAAGAGTTAATGATAACCTCAGTTCAGGGTCTTTACAACACGACTGGTATATTCTCATAACCAATTATATATTATTCTCTACCATATCATAACATCTCATGTAAGGCTAACAAATTAAAACTTAATTTTTAGTGTTGTTTTTTTTTTTTTTTTTTTTAATTTTTATTTATTTATGATAGTCACACAGAGAGAGAGAGAGAGAGAGAGAGAGAGAGAGAGAGGCAGAGACACAGGCAGAGACACAGGCAGAGGGAGAAGCAGGCTCCATGCACCGGGAGCCCGACGTGGGATTCGATCCCGGGTCTCCAGGATCGCGCCCTGGGCCAAAGGCAGGCGCCAAACCGCTGCGCCACCGAGGGATCCCAGTGTTGTTTTTTTTTAACTATAACCAATACTGTCTGGTTTGATCATCTACCTTATTGCCAAATAGCTTTCTGTTGTTTCCAGAAATTCAATTTGCTTTCAAAGGACAAAGGCTGTGCTCCCATTGAGAACACAAAATAGGAAACAGTACAGAGACTTTGAAGACAATTTTTTTTTACATCTTTGTCAACACTTGATATTTTCTATTTCTTTTATAAATTTATTTTTTATTGGTGTTCAATTTGTCAACATATAGAATAACACCCAGTGCTCATCCCGTCAAGTGCCCACCTCAGTGCCCGTCACCCCCACCCCCCGCCCACCTCCCCTTCCACCACCCCTAGTTCGTTTCCCAGAGTTAGGAGTCTTTCATGTTCTGTGAAGACAATTTTGAAAGGAACTCTAAAATGTCTGAACAATAATCAACCTTCTTAAGTGATTGTTTTAAAAACCAGACTTGTTACCTGGAACAGAGAACTTCCCCAAGGTAGAGCAAGAACGTTGCCTTCTGCTTAGGACCCCATAAGCACTTTCATATCTGTTGAATGGAAATACAAACTTCAGACTAATGGGACTGCTTTTAGAAAGAGCCAAAATGCAGCGCCCTCTGGTGCATATCTCCAGAGGGCTTTTTAAAAATTTTAATTTCCTTTTCTTTTTATTTATTTTTTAAAAAGATTTTATTTATTATTATTTATTTATTTTTATTCATTCATTCATTCATTCATTCATTCGAGACACACACACACACAGAGAGAGAGAGAGAGAGAGAGAGAGAGAGAGATTGGCAGAGACACAGGCAGAGGGAGAAGCAAGCTCCATGCAGGGAGCCCAAAGTGGGACTCAGTCCCCGGTCTCCAGGATCACACCCCGGCCTGCAGGTGGCGCTAAACCACTGCGCCGCCAGGGCTGCCCTCCTTTTCTTTTTAGATTTGAGGGTCAAAAATGTTCAGCTTAAAGTACTGTTAAGGTTCGAATGACAGAGAGGTGACAGTACTAACCTATTTTTCATTAGAAAGTGACTGCAAAATATACTTTAAAGACTGTATCAGGTATTAGGTTTGATGACTGTAAATAATGCAAACAAAATTAAGTTTTACTTATAAAATGTTTTGAGTTTTCTGCAGAAAAGCAATTTAATGGAAGAACAAGTGGCCATTTTAATCTAGCAGCCTTTCATCTTAAGTAAAAAGTACTTTTCATAGACTTCCAAAATAAATGGAGACATTCTCATTTGATAAAGCATCAAAAATACTCTATTCTCATGTCTTGATTTTGGCTATCCTCAAAATGTTTGCTATTCAATTTATAAACCCAGGAAGTTAGGCCAACTGGGGTCATGTAACTGAGCTCATCAATTTTACTGCATTTTCCTTTGAGTTATTGTAGTGCTTCATTCACTAGGTCCCACAACTAAAGGCCAACATTTAGAGCAGCAAATTGTCCTTCAATGTTCAGGAGGCCACTGGTACTTATTATCACTCTGTTCCAGCAGGTAACAGGGAGAAACTCCACCTGATATCTTCTTAAGTTCTTCTCTGTTTTGCTCTTTAGTGAGACCATTACTGGTATCCCAGCGCCTAAACATTCAGATATATATACTTCCACCCTACTCCTCCACTATACATCATGTTACAGTAATACCCAGTGAGACTGGAGGCTCACCTCTTCAGTATCTCCACCATCACGCTGACCTCCAACCAGCCGGACTCTCCATCTCGGTTATCCCATTTCCTTTATGTTTGTCGTGTTACCCTGCCCAGACCTTGAGTGCCCTTATTATGTTGCTTCCATATTCTCCTGAAATCTTCAGGTATAAATGACATGATATGCAATAGTAACAACTGTCTCTAAGAAACTGATTTTTTAACCAGTACATCAGTTCCACTCACATTTATTGAGGGTATACTAATATGCCACACACTGGTCTGAGAGTCTCAAACACAAAGGAGAAGAAGGGAAGATGTGCATTCTTACAGAGCTCACCGTGAGGATGGACGTGGTACAGTGCTTGCATAAGTACATTCTCTGAAAAAGGGATCTAAAATATGCTCTTTTTAGAAATTACCACTTATAAACCACAAGGTATTCTAATTTCTTTAACAGGTGAGAATATTCAAAGTTTTTTCCTGATTAAAAAATGTTCAAAACTGAAAATAATAAACTTTATTTTTTAGCATAATTGCTTTCTTAGAAAGAAAATTAAGATATTGAGGGAAAATGTTAAAGGAACAATTCTGGGAATGAGAGTACCTAAATAAAACTTATTGAGTGTCTACTATTTGCTAAATATGCTAGATGCTGGGGATACAACAGTGAGCAAAACCTGACAGTGATCTTGCACTGATTAAGCTCACCATTCAGTGGAATTAGCAGATAATAATCATATAGGTAAACGGCAAATTACAATAGTGTTAAGTGCTACAAGTAAGTGGGAGTCACAGAGTGCTGAGAGTCAGAGGCTTCCATGAGGAAATGATAGCTAAAGGAAAGATCTGACGGCACAAAGACAGCAATCAAAGTAGAAATAAGATATCATCATATACTCTGAGTAGAGGGCACATGCAGTCTTTAAGGAACTACAAGTGAATGGAGCAGAAAGCCAAGGGGAAGCTAGGGGAGTAATGATGGCAAAAAAGCAGGGAGACACCAGACCACAGAGGGTTCCATAGGTCATTTTGAGGATATAGCTTCACCCTAAAGGTAATCCATAAGTACTAAAGAGTTTTAGCTGTGTTACTAATTAAATTGTAAGATCACTCCTGCAAAGGATCTCTAGGACGGTTCCAGATACAGAGTAGTAGGTCAGTACATGCGGATTCCCTCCCCAAAACACTCAACAAAATTTACTTTTTTCAAATCTCAGTAGCATATTTAATCAATTAACAATTTCTGTACCTTTATAAAATGATCAGTATTAATTTTAACCTAATGTTCATTTTCCCCCAAGGTAATGTAATAAAGTAGAATTCAAAGTGTATTAGAAATTGTTTATTGAGTTATAATATGATCTTGTATTGTGCTAAAAATTAAGTACAAGTAAGTCAGCCCCTGGGTCTGATTTTAATACTACATATCTTGTAAAATATATGAATAGCAAGATGAAAGAGGAGCAGTTAAAGTAGTATAAAGCTATAAATGTCATATTTAGGGATCCAAAGCTCAATATTATAAATTTACTTAGCAAGCTAAAATATGCCTTCAATGAAGGCTGAAGGACTCCTCTACAAATCATGTATAGTTTTTAGCCTATCAACTACCTATTCCCCAATATAGGGTCCACACCCTGTTTATAGAAATTTCTGGCTTTTTAAATCTCTTACATTTTTCCATATGTTTCTGCTGCAATTGATGAAGATAGTTTGCAAATGATACCTTACCCTAAAATATTTCAGCAATGTATCTTAAAATGTATATTTGCATAGAAAGAAAGAAGCTAATCTTTAACAATTTAAAAAAAATTTTAAGAAACTTTAGTAGCCAATTACCAGACAGGCAGGACATCAGGGAACCATATTCTTCCCAGGTATTTGGACACTTCTGTGTGAATTTTATCAAGGTTATACTCATCATCAGGGATCAAAACCTCTTCCATTACAGAGAGCTGTGTTAGTCTTTTCCCACACAGTCTTACAAATTCAATGAATGCACTGCAGCTGACTTCACACTCACTGAGGCCCAAGGCTGTTAAATTTTTACAGTGTTCAGCAATACAAATAAGTTGAGTATCGAGAGTCTGAAGACCATTATTAGCACATACCACTAACTCAATTAGTCGTGGACAGTTAAGACCTATCCGTCCTAGAACCGCTGTGCTCACTGAACGACCAAAATAAAGGTGAGTAACAGGGGTCTCTTCTTTGAAGAATGCCTCAAATTCTTCTTCGTATAAAAAGAAATACATAACAACATTAACACCAGGGGAGTGTTTAATAAGCGCATCCCAACTTTGTTTTTTAATAGAATGAAATTCAATCTGTCCAGGATTTTCACTCACAACATCAATTCGAAGATGCTCTAGGTTAACATGAGTTTCACTCGAAAGTGCTAGGAGAAGTTCATCACTGAGAATGTAATAATTCAATGCCAGTTCTCTAAGGCCTTGACAACGATCAGCTACACAAAGGATTCCTGTGGGAAATGGGGGAAAAATCCTTAAGAACAAAGAATCACCCTGATACTAATATAACATTTTGTAAATTTAGATCTGACACTAGTTATTCATTATTTGCTGAAATAGACATCAAACTTGGTCAGTTAAGCAGCTGACTCTTGATTTCAGCTGAGGCATTGATCTCATGGTCCTGGGAAGGAACCAAGGTTGGGCTCTGTGCACAGCAGGGAGTCTGCTTCAGGATTCTGTCTCCCTCTGCCCCTCCCCCCCACTCACTAGCTCTCTTTGGCACGTTCTCTCTCTCTCTCTCTCTCTGAAATAAAGAATACATCTTAAAAAAGAAGATAGCCCCGGTGACCCAGCAGTTTAGTGCGGCCTTTGGCCCGGGGTGTGATCCTAGGGACCTGGGATTGAGTCCCACGTCAGGCTCCCTGCATGGGGCCTGCTTCTCCCTCTGCCTGTGTCTCTGCCTCTCTCTCTCTCTCTCTCTCTCTCTCTGTGTCTCTCATGAATAAATAAATAAAATCTTTAAAAAGAAAAAAAGAAGATAGCTTAAAAATTAAATATAATAAAATAGACATCAAATGATTTCTGAGGAGATGGATGTCAAAATATATATAGTTATATATAATAATAATAAATATGTATAATAAAATATACATATGACTAAAATACTTTTAGAAGTAACTTAAACTATGTCTACCTTATGGATTAAGATTTCTTTCAAAAAAGATTACTTTTTAAAATTATGTTTCATAAGCATAAATTGTTCAATAGGAAATTGCATTGTTACAATTAGTATAATATAAATTATATGTAATATATATAATATATATAATATGTACTATTATAGTACTAGTATAATAAAAAACATCATGCAAGCTTTAAAAGATATAACCTACCATCAGAGGAAACATGAGGACAGCTACTCATTTTTAGGAGTCTTAGAGTGTCACTATTATTGGCCACGAGAATCTTTAATGAAGGATCATCCACTGGTGTGTCTTCAATTTTGATCGATGATAATGATTTTGAGTTGACAAAGACAACTGTAAGTGCCGACACAAAATGAGACTTGCATGGCAATAAGAAAAGAATTATGAAAGCATTATTTAAAAATCTATAGCTTCAATCAAATAGTTCATTGAAACTCTATCAACATATGCTACAATAACATACTAAAAGCAATCAACAAATTAGCATTTTTTCATGACACCAATAGCCAGTCAAAATAATTTCTCAAAGATTTAATACACACACCTTACAGGATCTGATTTTCAATATTAAAAGGATATAATTATATTTATTTCCTAAAATAGGGATTGGCAAATTATTATTTGCTGGCCAAATCCAGTGTTGTCTGTTACTGTATGGCTCTTGAGTTCAGAATGATTTTTATATTTGTAAATAGTTGGAAAAAATTTGTCAAGAATAATATTTTGTGACATATAAAAATTACAAGAAACTTCCAGTGTCCACAATTAAAGTTTGACTGAAATGCAGCCATGTTACTTCATTTACATGTGGTCTATGTCTGCTTTCACACTATAGTGCTAGAGTTGAGTAGCTCCCAAACTATAGCCTGTGGAACCCATAATACTTACTGTCTGAACCTTTTCGACCTCTGTCATAGAATAAATAGAATTTTCATGTTTTATTCACTCCTATATTTCCAGCACCTAAAATAATATCTGGCACATAGTAGGAGATCAATAAATACTTGTCCATAACTAAATGATCTTATTCTTCAGTGATATGCTTTTGCTAGAAAGTTATCTAAGTAAAGATACTTTTAAGATTTTTAATTTATTCATTCGAGAGAGAGAGAGAGTGCACAAGCAGAGGGGAGAAGCAGACTCCCCACTAAGCAGGGAGCTCAACACAAAACTTGATCCCACGACCCTGAGATCATGACCTGAGATGAAGGCAGACAACCAACTGAGCCACCCAGGTGTCCCAATAAAGATACGTTTTTAAAACTTTAAATGTTTTGAAGATTGACAAACAAAACTTTATTTATAGTTTGACTCCAAAATGGGTACAATTTAACAAGTTTTCAGATCCAGTATTTTTTGACACAGATAAGCAATCTGAAAACCAAATTCTTCCATGATCATTTTTCCTTTGTCAAAGTCAATCTGGGTTCTACCAAAGGTTCTATTACTCCTATGACAATGACCAAATTGGTTAAAAATCTCAATTCATTTATTAAAAAGTATACTGGTTTATATTCATTGTAAATTGATTTACATAAATTTGTAAATGGTAGATGGTTAGATCTCTTTACTAAATTTTATGGTGTCAAAAACAATTAGAGAACTACATCACTTTTTCCTTAAGAAATATAAGGTTTATTTTCCCTTTAAACAACTCGCATGGACTCTTTTAGTCCTGAAGGATGTACATCAGCATTAGAGGACATACCTCATCATGATATCCACATATTCCTTTAGCATTCTTTAGGACTACCAAAATACTGTACTTTTGTCCTATCTTTCCTCAGTTTACAAGTGGAAAAAACTGACACTCAGAGCGATGCACGACTTTGCCAGAAGCCACTACACTCTTTTTAACTGTAGAGGCAGATCTTGGAAGGAAGTGTGCTCATCACTAGTCCTCACCCTGGTGCCTGCATCAGCTAACTCAGAACTGAAGTTGATGTGTAACATTTGAGATAGCTTAGAAGCTAAGAATTTCAAGCTAAGCTGATTCCATCATTCATATGCAAGGAAATAACTATTTAGAAGTAGTTAAGTTTTCATCTGATTGCTTATATTACTCAATCCCCAAATGACCCATTTTCCCTGACTATCTCTTAAAAAGATAAACAGGCTAGTGTAAACACTTGAGAACCATGACCCAGTTTACGAGAGAGAAGATGCTACTATTCCTCTTTCCTCTTCAACAGGAAGGTTTCCATCAGTCAGTTTTACTGACAACCAGAACTCAGTGTTTATTATATATCAGGCCCTACTCTAACTCTGGGTTTATAATGGTAAATAAACAAAATAGAATCCCTGCCTTCAAAGACTTTTGTGTTTTGTTATAGGGGATAAGAATAAATATGTTAAATAATTAAGGTAATTTCAAGTACTCAGGAGTGACATAAAGAAAATACTATAATACAGCAGAGTATAATTGGAGAAGGGGGCGCTGGTTTAGCAAACAAAAGTGGTCAAGGAAGGTCTGTCTGGGGATGGCATTCCAAATGAAGCCTGAATGAAGACAATTATTTGTTTATGCTTATAGAGGCTTCCTAACAGCCATTCATCCTTTCTTTGGTAATCGAGTCTCAATTTTTAGCTGGGCGCTTTACCAGTCAGCTAAAAAACGTTTCTAATCTCCCAGAAACCTGGTGTGGCCACACTGTTAAGTGCTGGCCAATGAGATGTCAACAGAAGCATTACGTGGTTCTCATGGCTAGTGTCCTTGAAAAGCAAGGGGCCTACCCTTTTTCCTCATTTCTTCCACCCTCCTGCCCAGGACAGGATGTAATGCCATCTTAAATGCCTTTAAGAGCAGGGAATACCTGGAAGGAGCTTGGCGGGGTACTAACAACTTCATACCAGCTATGCTTATGCATGGATTTCTTTCAGGTAAGAGAAATAAACTCCAGCCGCATTGTTTAACCTACTATTGCTTTGTAATTTCTACTATACAGAATCCAACATCATCCTAACTGGTACAGTTCATTTAGTGTTATGTTGTTCTACCTCCAATAGAGAGGCTGCAGAATTACAAGAAAGTCATGTGCTGGGGATCCCTGGGTGACTCAACGGTTTAGCGCCTGCCTTTGGCCCAGGGTGTGACCCTGGAGTCCTGGGATCGAGTTCCACATCAGGCTCCCTGCATAGAGCCTGCTTCTCCCTCTACCTGTGTCTCTCTCTCTCTCTCTCTCTCTCTCTCTCTCTCTGTGTGTCTCTTATGAATAAATAAATAAAATCTTAAAAAAAAAGAAAGTCATACATTACTGGCCATACACACTCTATATTCAAAGAAACTAAGTAAACTTGCACTTGAAAATCCTAAGTATAACACCTAAATTTTATATTAATGATGGCTACTGTAGAAACAATTATTAAAATTACAAAGTATATCTAAAGGATGAAACCATCCATAAGCTATTTCACAAAACGAAGTGCTAGTCAATAGAAAACTGCTTTAAGTAATTCTTTGAACATAAGGAGGACATGGCATGTTTTTAGGGGAAGAATCCTTTTTGCCTAGATTGAAATATTTGAGAATTTTTGTATATATCACATAAAAGCCTAGCATCTTTACCTTTGACACATTCATAAAACTTGGCTTGGCCGTTGAAATCAACCCCAAAGTCTGGATAGAACAATTTACCAGCTGAGAAAGTATATTGCAGGCAGCTTCTGCTGATTCAGTACTACTATCAACCTATAAAGACAATTTTAAATCTTTATTTCCTGAAGGTGAGTTGTCGAAAGTTATTGGCAATATAACTATGGAACAGAATTCAACTGCAACACTTTATTTATCCTGTCAAGCTATGTATCAAATTGATATTTCTTCTTTATATAAAAAATCTCAGATAAGAAAATGATAAATAGAGCTGAGGACAAAGTAACTTTCTAAGTGTTTTATATTTTCAAATCCTTTACAATGACTTGAATTTCAGTAGTACCATCCAGATGAAGAAAACTGAGGTTTAAGTTATATGTAAGTTCTATAGCTCAGTCCATGCAAATAATTACAAAAACAAAACAAACCCCCCAGGAAATAGCTTGGAGTAAAGATTCTGCAAAATTCACTGACTGCTTCAGCATAATGATTTAGATACACAAATATGACACTAACAAAAATGTAAGTTGTTTCTATTTAATGCTTATTCTTCTCACCTTAAAGCTGACATATTGGAGATGGGTAGCATGCTTTTTAATGATCTGCTGAATGAGATCCGGATGGGTAGACTTAAAATATGAAGTCACTGATTGATTCAGTTCAAATTCAAACTTTCTCCAGAGGTCAGGAATATGAAAAACTTCATTCCATTTCCTACATACCGAAGACGCCCGGGCCCGATCTATTAAAGGAAGATACTGAAAAATGCGTAATACTACATAGTGAGGCAAACTCCCCCAGTCTAGAAGGACAGCCGGCAAATGGGTGTGGTTGAGAGAAGAGTAGAACCCAACTTTTGGTTGTTTCACTGCTGATGAGTACTGGACAATCTTATTCACAACAGATAAATTGTTCCTCTTCATTCTGTAAACATTAAAAGATTTTGTTATTATATTTTCCACATTTCCCTCAGACATCTATACTCTGATTGCACAAAATAACATTAGAAAATGAAAAACAGTTAAATTTTAATAGTAACCTTCCACTTTCACACACTGATAGGTACTGCCATATGCTAGGTATACAGAGGTAAGTAAGAGGGAACTTGCTCTCAAAAAGCTATGGCCAAATGGTGAAATACCATGGTAAGTGCCATCCCTGACACTGGGACAAGCTGCACTGCAAGAATAAAGCCATGACATGTGTTGAGCTTGTGTGTGGGAGAGAATTGTTGGGGAGGCTTCCAGAAGGGAACATCCATGGAAGCACTGTGTCTCCCAGGTTCATTCCTGGTTAATTAGGAAGTATTACATAGCAATTGTGCTAACAACTCCTGGGGTCCTGAAAGACAGTAAATCGTTATCAAAAGAAGAGGCCTGGAAAAGCCCCAGCTCAGCCGTTGACTGACCATGCAATCTTGTCTGAGCAAATGTAAGCCTCAGCTTCCTCGTCTGAAAAGCAGGGAAACTAGCAGTACCTAATCACATAAGGCAGTTGTGAGGATTAAAACATCTAAGTACCAGAACATAGTAAAGGCTTAATAAATGTTGCATTCTTGTTGTGTTAAACTGTCCAATGCATTTTTCTGAACTAATTTCATTATTTAATTTGAAGCACAATTTTCAGATGACACATAGGACATAGGAGCTCTAGAGAAGCTGGACCTAGCAGGGATACAGCCTGTTTAAAGAACACACCTGACGCTCACTAGCAAATGTGAAAGAGCAAAGGAATGGTCATTCTTCCCCAACAAAAGATATGATGAATCTTCAGGTAGGAGCCAGCTTGAGACACAACTAAGTTACAACAAATTTCAGGTCCAGATGTACCCAAGTATATAGGGTTATCTTGTACATATATTCTACATAGGAATCCAAAGTATTTTAAGTATACAATCATTTGAGAGACAAAATAATGGTAAGAGTGATTCTCAACTTTATTAAACTTTGGTTGACTGCAAATCCTCTTTTCATCCCTGAATGTTAGAAATGTATATATCTCTGATGTGAATCACTTCTTAGCCATAATAGAGAGCTGGATATACCAAAGCAGGGCTAACCTATAAAGTTGCTGAACAAAATGAAAGGTCACCTTCAGGGTTTGGAAAACTAAAATGGAAAACAGAAATAGTTGCAAGGCTGTACCTCAAGCATCCAGCGAAAGAGCTATCACACATGTTTAGTATGACTCAACCAATTATACGCATAACTGAGAACTGGCCCAGTAATGTAGAATATATCAAAATGCTGATACTAATAATTCAAAGCACACTTGAAATATGCTTATTTTGTGAGTTTTTTTTTTTCGAAATATGCTTAATTTGAAAGGGTTGCCCTACTCTTTAATTTTAATTCCCTAAAATGAAATATGTTGGCCCAGGTAAGATTAAAGAATGGACAGTGAATCCTAAATTCTGATAGGGAGCACATTTACGGACATTTTGCTTGTATGTGTTTTATTTGATAACCTTATAGGATAGGTTGTTACAATTTCACTAAGTTATCACAAAAAGAGTTATCCCTAATATAATCCTTCACTGGAAAAGAAGAATGGCCAAAAGTAAAATAAGATTTCATCTAAATGTTAGATTAGCAAGTTGCCCTGTAGTTGTAAACAAAGAGACTGTATTATATATTCAAACTGACTCCATATAACATGGACAGATTGTTTTAATTGTTTATTCAGTAAAATAAATAATTGTAAAATTGTTTATTCAGCTCACTGATAGAATCGCCATAAACAAGACATTAAATGAATACCAGTCACCCTATTAAAAATAACATTTTGATGTCTTTTCTTTGTGTACATTCATTTTCAGAGTATAAAACTCATCCACAAATCATATATTTTACATAAGTCATATCAATGAGAATCAGTTAAACATATTTTAGAATGCAAGACAAATTAATCTTTACTAGCTTGAAAATCCTTATATAAAAATTCCAACCTAAACATACATGATCATTTTAAAAAACTGAAGATTGCTTTTTCAAACTGCCAACTTTCTTACCTAAAGAAGGCTTCCAAGTTATAGTTCACTCTGAACGAACGAACTGCTGCCATGGGGTACTCACCAACATCCATTTGATTTCACTTCCTAGCTTGGCAAAATACCACAAAAACACATTCATCAGAATGTATAAGTAAAAATCCAATAATTTTTATGCTTAGGATATTCACCTATCATCTCATTTTGTTCAAGGATTTTGTTAGGAAATTATTGATTCCCAAGCAATTGTTTTTTACTTGGGAGGAAACCAGTCCAAAAAACAACTAGCCTGGTTAGTGGCAATATTGTAACCCTTGTTAGCAATCAGACTGGAAGCTCTACTAAGAAATCTGTGGATCAAACAGTCAAAGGGCTCTGTAAATTTCCATTTTAATGAACATAAATGGAGAGATATTACAAAAAGTTTAAGTAGTCCAAGATTATATTTATTTGTTTGTAGGCTGTGTAAACTTTAAGTTTCAGTTTTTAGGAGCACATAATGCCACTACAGTTATAATAAATAAGAAGACATATAAATTTTATTGAATATCATTTGTTTGACTATTATCTGCACAACATATATACTTTTGTGGGGTTTTCTTCTGAGTTTTTCACTTCTGTTGATAGATATAATTGATTCATTCATACTCAATCGATTCATTCATACTGTCTTTGAGGTCTGACCAATTTTAGGGAAAGTAACCTGCCAAAGTTAGAAGCAGTCTATGGACATGAAAGAAAATAGTAACAGGTCTACACCAGGATAAAACTCACTGCCTTGGCATCATGAATAAATGTTGTAAAGTCAAGGTAAATAAATAAATGCATCCTACTACCTTCATAAGCCAAATTCAACTGTACAGAGGAGGTGGAGGAAACAACCCATTAATCCTCTAAAAACTTCTCTTAACTGCTGTCTACTACCTGCAGCTCTCAATTTCTCTCTGAATTCTACTCCTAACATAGAGCTTTGGAGAACAGATATAATGTACTTGAGCTCAACATCCACAATTTAATTTCCCCACCACTACCTGAAGTCCTACTATTATCCAAACCACTATTTACAAGGTAATTTCTTTTTTCTTTTTTTTTTTTTACTTACAAATTTATTTTTTTTATTGGTGTTCAATTTTACAAGGTAATTTCAAGGTTGGTTCTCCCACTTTACATTCCACTCCAGAAGTAGGCAGAAAGGAGCTCCTGGCACATTTTCAAAGAACATCACAAAATAAGGGAAAGACAAGCTAAGGGACTTGTATTCCCCTCATAAGATGTCACACTCAATTTTATTTACTGCAGAAACTTTTCTACTGAGTTATCAAAATAGCTAATCCTGTGTTTGCAGGTTGTTCTGTGTGCTGGAGAATACAGCGGTAACCTAGTAAAGGTACAGAAAGAGTGAATGACTAAACCCCTAAGAAGATGGTGAGAAAGTACCTATCTGAGATCAATTCACTGGAGTCTTCAGGATCAGATGAACTACTTCCTTGGGTACTGAAGAAACTTGATGGCTGTTTCAGAGTCACTATCCAGAATTCTGAGTGACAGGAGAACATAAAACCAGAATACGGGACACCATCAAGTGATGGAGAGCCTGACACTGATCTTCAGTGCAATTCTAGAGCTTGGAAAAGGTTTATTAGCATTTGGTAAAGAGTGTAACAATGACTCAAAGTCCACTTAGTGGCTTCACTAACCACCCTAACCCAACTTCCTTTTTTTGTTACGTTTACTAGTTTGGTTGAACAGGTGACTATGTGAATTGGATCCTCTAAGACTATCTAAGAATAATCTCCAACAAGTATTCTTGAGAAGAACATTTCCAAAAACAGATTAAATGAAAGACTGAACATCCAAAGCCAACCTGGTAGCAGCAGTGGAAACCAGCTTTTGCACCATCACCAAATTCTTCCGGATTAGTTAAATGAATACTCAGAAAGTACTCCGAAAAGTTTCAAGTTTTCAATTGTCACAACACTAGAAATGTTGTGTAAATGTTACAGATAACAGAATAAAGATTCAAAACTACCTAAAAGCCTACACAAATTTGCTGGAAGCACCAAGATGAAAATGAATAGAAATAATTATCAAATGTCATTTATTTAATTTGCTTTCTAAAGCAGCACACTGCAATCTTATCACTGCTACCACAGATCAGAAGGCTCTGCTAATGGGTCTGAATTCCCCATCATGGGTGCAATGGCAAGGAAGGTATGGGCCTGGATGGGAGAGCTGAAGATCTGCTTCAAAATACAGCTCTTAAACACACAGCTTTCTAATAAAAGAATCAATGATGCTAAGGACCAACAGTTCTGCCCAATAAATACCACCCAAGTACAGAACAAAAACATAATTAAAAAAAAAACCTACATTCTTTACAGCTCACATGACCTTAGTTGCCCTCTAAATCAAAAACTGCCATTTTAAAAAAGTACAATATCACCAAATTACAATATCACCAATGGTTCAACACGACAGAGTATTATGTCAAATAAATATTTCCTAAAGCAATGATTTCCAGCATTTTGGTGTCCTCCTATTTCACCACCGATTTAGCAGTTTTCTATACTGTCTTCTAAGTCTCTCTGTGATATTAAGATATAGTTTTTTTTTTAAAGAAAACTTTAAATTTTAAAATAGGCCTATCTCCTTTTAATGACTCATAGAAAACTGAAGTTTTCAAAATATATGTAGATTGAAAACACCTTCTGAGATGCAAGAGGGTTACACAGAACTTGAACCAGGCAATCTTAGAATCCCTGAATTGGGGTTAGAAGGCTTTCAGGCATCTTTTCCCTCTCCTGTCCCCCCCCCCCTCCCCTTCTTCTTCCTCTCCCAGCCCCGCCAGCCAGACTCGTTAAAAGAAAAGGCCCTGAGGACAGCAAGCCCGGCCCTCTCCAGGGAAGCCTGAACTGGGGAGCGTCCCACCCTAGG